AGAGAGAGAGAGAGAGAGAGAGAGAGAGAGAAAGAGAGAGAGAGATCCGATAAAGGAAACGTCAAAATTACGAAACCGTGTAGGTTTACCGCCCCTTACATGGGGTCTCCTTGCAACTTAACTTTCGACGGGACTGACGCCGAGATGAGCCTCGAACACCTGAATCCCCAGACCCCCGAACCCGTAACCTCAGGATTAAGTGCCTTATAGCCTAACCAATAGACCACCGACGCCAGCAAGTGGACGTCTACACTCTGGAATCAAATTCACGCTTCTCGCGTGAAGTGGTCAAGTATCTGACCGTTACCAGGTATGCGCTGGTGACCGACAAGGAGGTGAGGCAGAATGTTATGCATCAGAGTGAAACACTTAGTTTCATCTTTGACGACGTCCTCAATCTTTTTCTCACTTCTTGAAACAGCCCCCCCCCAACCTGTTTTTACGGAAGTCTGTTCTGTAAAATGTGTATGTTTTATTTGATGAGGACCAATGGCCTTAAACATTGAATAAAACACCTTCCTACTGCCTACCCCCTGAGCCTGGAGTCTTCATAATTATGCCTCTCGTTTTTCTTTCTGTAACATTTTCGTACCAGCCCTACCACTACCTTTTCCCCCACTTTTACACTGTCTGTGAATATCATCCCAGCACCTTTCTTTTCGCATCTTCAAATTTCTCAGGTTCCGCTCAGCAGAATTATATGATGTGTCATGGAACACAGTTGTTCGTTTCCATCATGACCAGCAAACAAACGTTTACGGATCAAACCACAGTGGGGCCCCATGGATAGAATTGTGGATACCGTCAAAATTGTCCAAGATGGACATTCATTGTCGAGGAGAGTGGATATATTAGGCAAGCGGAAATCTTTGACGGCGTGAGTCCATTTTTTTAAAACCACAAAGAAGGAAAAAAAAGGGGGGGGGGGATGGTCATTTCGCTACCCCAGAATTACAAAGTTCTATCTGCTCAGTAGCTTGCTTTAAGAAATTTGACGTCAAAGCTTTTTCAAATGCAATTCTTTGAATATCTTGATAACGGCTCTGAAAAATCTTACGATTTTGATAGAGGAGATGGAACATTTTGCTTCTGACCTCATGGTCTATAGTAACACGAAAAGGCCAAAAATATCAGATGGAACTTTGTAATTCTGAGGTAGCAATTTGTACAGGTGACTGACTTGGACAAGGTGTCGATCAGAGCTGGTGCCGATAGAGCACGTTTGTATTGCTATATCTACTGCCCGTCCAAAAGTTGGTAAGTTACGGCGCTCACAGCTGTATAAGGTCATATGAGCGCGCGGGACACATTAAACATTTTTCAGTTGGTAGGAAATTTGGAATTTTGCCCGGGTGGCGGCCGAAGCCTATTCTTTTCGATTTTAGGACCACCAATGTATCTTTGACAAGCGCACCGTGCACACGGGACCTCCAAGATTTTTCGCCCTTATTTGGGTTAAGCGGCTTAATTGTAGACTTCATCAGATGTGGTACAAAAAAAAAAGTATTGTAAAGACTTTAAACATGCCCAGCCCCCTTTCCCATCTCCCCGTTTCCCCCTTCTCGCGCATCTGATGTGCGCCGTACGTCATGGAAAGCAGGCCACCCTGAGCTGTATTTGCATCCACTTAACATCCAATATCCCTTTCCTGGATATCGCTGGTAAAAAAACTGGCTTTTTAGCGGGGGCTTTTTAAAAAAACTTTTTAGATGAAAGTGTACTCTCCTGGGGAAAAAAATTGTATTTTTTATTTTGTTTCTTCTCTAATTTTGATATTATCTGACGATAGCTGTGTTGACATTGGGCCAATTTTTAACAAAAGAGCCTCGAAGCAAGCAGAAACATTTTCTTTTCACGGAGGGGAAAATAACCCAACAAGGAGCAACTTAATAAACATGTTTTCTGTACATTTATTCTAGATTTTTAAAAAAGTGAAACAGAAACGCAAAACAACACACGGATTTAAACAGCCTTCTCAAACCTGGATTTGCCCTAGGAATAAGAACAAAAATATCGACGGTCCCGTGCGGAAATGTTTTCACATTGAAGATTGTTTGGCAGCTCTAAAATCTAAAAGGGTGGAGATCTAAGCCATTCTTTGTTGTGAGTGAACGAAGTGCGATGAACGTTTGTTTTTTTTTGGTTTGTTTTATTTGTTGGTAATGTTTATGTACGAGAAGTGAATGCCACACTCTAAGTCATAACAAGGACGCATTTCACACATTTTAGAAATTATTGAAGTCAAGAAATCTTACTTGCAAGTCCCAAACCTTAACTCCAGGACCCTGGATCAGAATTTAACGCGCGAAAATATGTCACGGCGCGGTGGAATCGGGCACTCGTCAAGTTTTGTTGTTTTGCTTATGATGGGACTAGATATTTGCAACTAAAGGAGGTCGAGGAAGCCTGGTGTCAAAAGTAAAATTTCGTCTTTTTTGTGCCTTTGGTCAAATTTGTTTTTTCACACAGAATCCACACAAAAAATGTGTTATTAAATTGACATGAAAAGTGTTGAAAAAAAACAAACACACATGAACATGACGGTTTCTTCGATTCCATTATTTCTACGAGCGTCTGATTTCGCTACGACGCCACACCAGACATAGACACTAATTCTTTGCGCGCATTTCATCGTATCATCTTTTTCTTCTTTTCAGTAAGTTCCCTCCAATACTTCGGTCGTTCTGCGACTCCCACCTAATTTTAGTATTAATTCCGTGCAGCACTCGATCAATGGCGTCATCAGCTGGGATCGGACAGGTCATGTTTAAGCTCCACCACGGGGTGCTACAGACCCTATGATGTATGGGCACGAGGGCGCGACCCTACAATTAATTCACTTCTGCTGCTGTCCTCGAGTCTCTCTCTCTCTCTCTCTCTCTCTCTCTCTCTCTCTCTCTCTCTCTCTCTTT